CCCCTCCCCCCTCCCCAACTCAAAAGAAATTTCTTTTCTTCATCGATACTCTATAATAAAATTACCACCTAATCTAAAAAGTCTAATCTAAAAAGTGGTTTGCGTGCAGAGTTTCATGCAATTCTTCGGGTAGTGGCTAAGCGCGACCCCAGTGTTTCTTTCAGACTTTTTCCTCCCCTGAGGGAGGGATTTTTCTAATCTAAAAAAAAGTGTTTAGCGTGCAGTTGTTTTTTTCATGCATCTCTTCCGGTAGGGGCGAAGCCCTGCCCAGGTTCTTCCTTTAGTTTGTATGATCTACAAATGCGACCAGTGTTTCTTTCAGACTTTTTCCTCCCCGGAGAGGGGTGGGGGTACTTGAAATTTTCGGGGGCGGGGGTAGAATTTTCGGGGAGGGGGCGGACACTGGAAAAAGTATATAATTATATTTCGTTGAATGGGACGGTAGACATGTTTTGGAGTGTGTGGGGTGGGGGGGGGGGGGGGGGGTTGGTTTTAGTTTAGAGAAAAGAGACAGCACTATCAACCTAGCGCCCGTTGTATCCTTCCTCAACGGGCCATTTTTCTCGTACATATTAATTTAATTAATAGGCCTAGGCCTATATTTTTTATTTAGCCATTGATTATCATTATGGTTTATTATTCAGCTATCTATATTCTATATTAGTATATTAAGTTAACATTAATACTTAACTAATAGTTAAGACTTAAGACAAAGAGTAGGGTAAAATCTTAGTTTAGCGTCGTAAATTCCAACGTAGCTAGTAATGAGCGATGAAGGTAACTAATGAATATTTCTTTCATTTGGCCATATTTATGTCATATTTTACATAATTTAACAGATAATTGAATAACAAATCACAATCCAAGACCAAACCAGTCATAAATATCCTGGAATAAACTTTAAACTACTCCGTTCGAGACAACAAAGAGTAAATACAAGCAGCGGCCATGTTTCAAAAACAATAATAGAGTAGTTCCCCTTGAAAAATTGTCTATTCGCATGTCTTTTGTGTTGATTTTGTGGTTTAATATGATTGTTTTATATTGTTTTAATATATGCCTGGGGGTCGTCCATAAATGACGTCAGACTCGTAGGGGAGGGGGTCCGTAATTTTGTGATGAGGGGGAGGGGGGGGGGGGGGGTTCAGATGGTGCCACGTCACACTTTTGCATTATAAAAAAGCAATGTTAGAAAACGAATTTTAGAGTTATTTTGCGTTTTAGAAAACTGTTTTAATACATTGTAGTAACAATTGATTAAAATACTCTATTTTGACAGAGTTCAGACAAGATTTTGGAAAAATATAGCTGTTTTAAAAAAATTCAACTGCAATTTTGAGGGAGGTTGTAGGCTGAGGTGTGACGACATTTTAGGGGGGGGGTCTGACTTTTTGTGACAACGTGTGACGGAGGTGAGGGGGGGGGAGGTAAAAATCGTCAAAAAAAGCGTGACGTCATTTATGGATGACCCCTATAGTAATTCTTTTTTTTTCAATATAGTTGACATGAATGACTAATAGACCTTTTCAGACTTAATAGTGTGCATCCAAGACCATAACAATTGTTGGGAGGTCGAACTTTTGAACACTTTATTCGCAGTAATCAAATCAATATGAGATCGCTCATAAATGACGTCGCTCTTAAGATAGTAATGACAGCGTGCATTATTACAGAACAAACATATGAACATATTGTTTCAGATAGAAATTGTGATTTGTGGTGGGGAAAGGTTGAGTAGAACTCAGCGATGTGATTTTGGAGACGGGTCAGGTGTTTTTTTTCGTGAAAACAGGGGATGGTTGTGGGAGAAAGACCAGCTGTAGAAGTATGACGCGTCATTCATTGGTGATCCATTTTCTCAGTGGGGACGATAGAACTATTAAGAAGGGTCAAGAAATGTAAAAAGCTTGCTGAGTCGCATTTCTTGAACCCCACCTTTTTCTTCCCCCACTTAGTACATCTTCGCCGAGTTAACGCTCGCACGTGACGTCATGTACCGGTACCGCCGACCGTTAGGCTAATTTTATATAAAAAAAACAACCAGCACTGCCTTATTGACGCTTATGCGACGTTTAATTTGATTACATAAGTTGGTGTTCATTAAACAGCCCCTAACACACCTATCACTCGTCCATTTAAACGTACGTAGTTATTTCTGCAAGCTTGCTGTCTTGAGACATTCGGCCCTTTAAAAAGGTATTAAGCTCTCACCGTATAGAACTAGACTACCCATATTAAGCTCCAAAAGAAGCTTGGTGAAAACAGGATCGCCGTCCGATTTTGAAGCTGCTCTGAGCTTTATAAAAAGCACAATAAACGATAAAATGACACTTATATTAAAGTAAATTATAGTTCTGAATCTTGATACATTAAAAGTGATATTCGGAAATTAAGAGCCAGACAGTCAACATATTCAATTTAAGTCCAAGAAATTCAATTTCCTCAAACGATGGAACATTACTAAATTTTCGCGCAGTTTAGCGAAATTGAATTTAAGTATTTACGTCATCTTACAAAGCGCGATAGCCTACTGGTGCTCTAACGCGGCCCATGCTAATGGCCGTATTCCTAATGCCCCGCATTAGACGCGGCTTATTCGTCGGCAGGCATTTGGTGGCAAGCCTTTTTGACGGGGATAATGTGTTAAGTTAAGGCCGTTTTGCCAAATGTCTTAAACTAGCAGGCTTGCAACATTTGTGATGACTCGTTTTAAGCAAGGTATACGTATACTAATGCTTATTTATCGTTATTTTGATTGAACAAAGCATTATAGAAGTTCTCCATCAACCACCTAGGTATTTTCCCCCGTTCACCCCCCTTTCATGAGACCGACACGTCATAAATTGCGGAGCCGCCTGAGTTGACGTCACAAATCTTCACTGACTCCCGTAGCAAATCATATGTGACATCATTTATGGACAATCCCATATCACTCACTTGGGTACTTGATATTGACATTTTGACAACAAAGGATAACCAAAATGTGTCTGGCAGGTGGAGACTTGCGATCGACCATAATGACAACACGCACTTAAGGGGTGGAGTGGCTGATTAGTTTAGATGATGTTTTACGAGGGAAGCTGGTGGATAATACATTTTGTCTCTCTGTATATATAAATGATGACAAACATTTATTGTTGTCAAAATTATGGCTAGAGATCTTAGATAAGGCAGAGCGAAGCGTAATTTTTTACATTAGCGGTCATCCATAAATGACGTCACGCTTTTTTTTGACGATTTTTACCTCCCCCCCCCCCCCATTCCCTCCGTCACACGTCGTCACAAAAAGCCAGACCCCCACTAAAATGACGTCACACCTCAACCTACAACCCCCCTCAAAATTGCAGTTGAATTTTTTTAAAACATCGATATTTTTCCAGAATCTTGTCTAAACTATTACAATTTATTAAAACAGTTATCTAAAACGCGAAATAACATCTAAAATTCGTTTTCTAACATTGCTTTTTTTAATAGTGCAAAAATGTGACGTCGAAACATCTGACCCCCCCCCCCTCCCCCTCATCACACATCGTCACAAAATTACGGACCCCCATCCCCCTACGATTGTGACGTCATTTATGGATGACCCCTTATGACTTGTTGTGACATTGACAACATATGACGGAGGTTGGGGTTTAATTAAGGTAAAGTGAAGTAAAAAATGTCATAAGTTACGATAGAATCACTAATTGATGAAAAGAAAAACCTGAAATGAAAATAGTGAACATTCAAACAATAAGAAAAAAACTCAAACTATATAGTAATAGTAAGATCAAATAAACATTAGTAAAAAAAAACGTGATTTAAAACATGGATACAAGTTGCATATCACAATGCTTCTAGAATTAATAAAGTTTTTTGTTAGGAAATTCAGTTTTTTAAAGAGCAGAATAAAAAAAAATGCTTTTTAATACGGACTATACAACAAGACAATCATTAATCATATTTAAATACATTTTCATACGAATAGAAATGAAAGGGAAGCTACTCTAAATAACATTTTCTTAAGATGGCTGCTGTTTTTAATAGCAAATTTACTATCTCGAACAGGGTTGATAAAAATTAATTTCAGGATATTTAAATTAATTTAACCTTAAATGGTGATCTATTATTCAATTATCTATAATATTTTATCAAAATATACGAAAATATACTCATAATCATATTTAATGACATATTCATTAATTCACTCTCTCCTACATTACTAGTTTTGTCCGAATTTACGACGCTAAACTAAGATTTTACCAAGAGTAGTATTAAATTTAATAAATTAGTTTAAAATTAGAAAATTAAATAAATAATACATTACTTTACCGACCCCCCTCCCCTGCCTTTAATTAGCCTACTTTTTTAAACTAGATCTAGACTTTATCTTTAAACATTATAAACAAGTTAAATTTTATGAATTTAGTTTAATGACATGTTCTCATTATAAAATAGGCCTACCTTAACTGATCTGTATTTTAAGAAAATAGACTATTAAAATTATTATTATTGTCATAGATCACTAAGGTTTTAGAATAGTAGATTAGAAGTTGTTTCCGTAATCTCGCTGATTCTTTTTTTTAATTGTAGGAAGTTACTTTTAGCCAGTCTCTACGACAATAATGTCGCCAAATTATTATTCTTCCGTAAGCTCTCCGATTTGCAAAAGGTGTAAAGCATTAACTTAGTCCTCTAGGCCTTGTGAATGTGGGAAGTGAAATGATTATTTAGAAAATTGAATAATGTTCGTTCATCATTAAAGGTGTTTTTATTTTATTTTAGTTTTTAGCAATACAAGCGTTTACCCTAAGAGACAATATCAATAATCACCGTGTTAGGCAATAAGATTTAAAAGGATTTATAATACAAAATTAAAACACATTTTGTGGGTGTTATTTATTTTATTTTAAAACAATCATCAAGCCAAAAGTTTCGTTTATTTTTTTTTAATTTAATGAATTCAAATAAATGTCATATCCACACACATTGAGAGAATACTTTTTAGACAGGTCTTTAATTGTGCTAAGAGTAAATCTATCACTCTTTCAGCACAATTTATAAAAGCGCACGACTAGACCTGTAGCGCTTGACTAGTTGTTGATTTATTATTAGGCTAAAAGATTATATATAGCATTCTTTGGATCACTAGGCAATATAAATGTTTTTGGCAATAAAAATATTCAAAAAAGGTCGATAAAATTATTTTTGAAAAGTTGCCAGATTGGTAGTGCATACGCTACCTTGAATCTATAAAAAAAAAAATTACGGGAGGGTAGTTTATTTTGAAAACAAAATATGTAAAACTCCAAATCAAATGTAAAACACAAACCACCTAGAGTTAATTTTTTTTTTTTAAAATAGGCATTTATTATGCAGTTTAATCTGTGTATTCATGCCCTATTAAAATTAATCACTAAGTTCTGTAATAGCACCTTAAGTTTATCCCATGTGCCTGTTACAAGTTATAATTTTTTGGGATGATTTAAAACATCATACACCACTCTTAGAGCAACTGAGTGATAAACTCACAGTAGATGGGATGGATAAAATCACTAACCATCATTGCGGATATCATGCAGTCAGCAGAACCCAGCCCACAACAAAGAAAGGCTTACTTGGTTTTCAAGGGAATTTTGTTGAATTTCTTGATGTTATGATGTACAATTATTTACTACTTGGCAGTCTCTAATGTTACTAATATATATTTTGTGACTTAAATTTATGCTCAACAATTTAAATCAAGGCCATATGGTAAAACCAAAATGCATTAAACAAAAATTTTGCCAGTTTTTTTTTAATTTATTTTTCTACTGCATTTATAATATCATAAGCCTTGCAACTGCAGAAAAAAAAAATGGGAAAATAAATCACTTAAAAAACAGTGGCATGACAATAAAAAAACAATCAAAATGATTCAACATTTAAAAAATTAAATACAAACAATTGTGTTGAACACAAACTGGTGATATTCTTACACACCTATTTCATATTACCACAATTAGTAGCTGTAAATGTCCACATAACCAACAGTAAAAAATTACATTTTTTTTTAAATACTTTAAATTACAAAACTGAAATCAAACGCTATTGATCAAGTCTTTTGATGCAGTTTAAAAAGCCTCAGATGGGTTTATTCAAGTTTATTCTTTTAGTACACAAGTAAGCTTCATGACAATGGCTTGATATCTTACTAGAAATACATTTACAGCAACATTACTGGTAACACATAACATTCATTTTAATACATAATAGCAAACATTCACAACATCCTGTACTAATTTAGTGTGAGAATAGCATAAAAAGTATACACCAACTACAATTTCATTCATATATACCTTTAGCTTCTAAAGATATAACTGCTGTAAATTTTTTAACTAAGATTTTTTTGCCATGAATCAATGTGACATGCATCCATCCATGCTTGTACCAACGTTAATGATAAATGTCTTGAATCTACAGATGGAACAATAAGGACCCGTTTGTAATCACAACTTCAGGGATAAAATGCACTGACTTGAGAGAAATCACAATTTCTGAGATTGTCAGAATAGTTACCATGATCATTCCATGGTATATAAGAATTACCTTTTTTCTGCTTTAACAAAAAGAACCAAAAATTACAAGAAGAACTTGAACATCCTATCTCAACAAAGATTTGTTAGTACTAAACAAAATAATTAAATTAAGCATGAAGCCATTCCAAAAAAAAAAACCCAACCTAACAATAGATAAAATTATTCTAAATGAAAAAGGAATGGTATTGAGTAGGAATGAAGGTATGAATGTTATCTAACACCCCACCCCCTACTAGTTTAATTATGAATTATCTAGAAAATAAATGCTTTCTTAGACTATCAGTACATAATACAACAATAAGTGTCAGATTGTCAAGTATGTGACCAAGGTTTGAAATTGCCTACTGATAAAAGGCAGATCTTAATGAGATTTTATAATAAAATACAAATTTAAATAAATTTTGATTGCATTGGTATACAATGGTTAAAAACTACTGCATGTATAAATAAATCTTAGTAAATACAGAAGTGGCCTTTTAGATGTTAGTTTGCTAATATAAAATTATAAACAAAAGATTTGTTGTCCAGTGTAAATACAAAAAACTTGTTCTGTGGCGATAAAATAAATAGAATATAATAATTGATTGATCCTATGTTTTACAATCTAGGCGTCTCAGCTAAATTTATAGGCTTTTAACTTCAGCATTGTCATGTGTAACTGTTCTTGATAAGGTAAAAAGAATTTCATTACAATCACAAAAGTTTCTTCTAAATATTTCATTTTGTTTTATTTGAAATTAATTTATTCATTTTGTGGTTGTCTTTAGTTTCAGAATCAACATCAGAAAAATTAAACTGTTTTCTATTTAAGCTACTGTGTGTACGGGCACACAAACTGTCAGGTAGACGAATTTCTCTCCTAACATAAAAAAGAATATAAGCCTTGCAGCGCATGACTGTGTCCACATCACAAGCTGTCACTGTACTGTCATTGAAGTGGTACCATTGACCTGATTGAAAACAAACGTTCAGACATGAACAGAATCCTGATGTTGCTTGAAAATTTCATGCACTTTTTTAAAAAGGGAACCCTTTATACGTATATAAAGGATACAAAATAAAGGTAAATTTAAAAAAGACCTCTAAAAAATCAGTGAAAGAAATTGTATGGATATAAGTGTACAAAAAGAAGTTTTTAACAGTTCATATTTCGTCAGTATCACGCAGTGAAGTGTATTTTGCTAAAAATATTAAGACACAAACATTTTGTATGTGTGACTCTTGATATTAAGCTCACCTAACATTTAAATATTTTTAATTAAATTATGGTAATATTCAAGTTAATGAGACTTAATTACCTTCATGAGTGGCATAAGCCGTATAGTGTCCTGATCCTGCCCTACAAACAATAGAAAATCAACATCCAGTAAAATTTAATTGTGGCTTTTTAATGAACAAAAATAGTAGAGACCTAAAGTATCTATCAATGTTTTAAATAATCTAATTAAGTAAAATGTTTAAAGGCCTTATCATCATCATTTCCCCTTTGTGCCTAAGACAGACTGAAGGGATATGTGGCCAGCACTATAACAAGCTGCCTTTGTTTCCCTAACTTTAGTACCCACCAGAGCTGGGTGGACTTAGGGATGTTCCACTGAATTTGAACCCAGATTCAAAGCAGTGTACTCAATCATAAAAAAATGTGTTTACCACTGTCAAACTTGGGTAAAGTAAATGTTTCCTATAACAAAGTGAAATAAAAACTTAACATACCCGGAACCATGATGTACAATTACAGCAGCAAGATCATACAAGTTGCTTCCTGAAAAACTTCCTCTCGTTTCATGCTGTCAATAGAAATCGACAATGAAAAAAATCTTTTGATTATTTTTATATTGTCTAGTTAATAGCAAAACCAAAAGCCCTCTAACCAGACTGCTGAAAAACTTAATCTGGCTACAGGCTGAATTACTATGCTGAGACACTGTTTACCATCTGGTGAATTATTTAGAATTTTTTTTTTAAATCTGATTTAAAAGGATGTCAAATATCAAAATGGAAAACAACTTTGCTAATAAATAAGCAAGACATGTCTATACACTGTTATATTATTAAGGATTAAAATTTACGCAAAGCAAATGTTTTAAAAATCGTATGATCATTAAATAAATGTACAGTACACTTTTTCCAACTTACCAAATTATTAAGTACATATGTGTTCATGTCTAGAGCTTGTATAGGAAACTCAACAAACGTTTCAACTTTTAAACGACAAAACATACTCCACCTAAAACGTTTTAGATGTAAACAAAGAACCTGCAGAGAAAATGTATTTATCTGTCATGCAAAATGGCTAGGAATCACAAAGAACAGTACAAAGATAAAAAAAAACTGGAAAGAAGTAGTGAAGTGAATAATAATTGTTAAATGTCAGTTCTCACGAGGATTTGAAAATTATCTGATAAAATCAGTTGAAAAAATGTATTCATAAATTGCTGAGATACCTAGTTAATTATTATTTATAAAACATTTATAAAGCACATCTCTGTAGAAAAATAAGGACTGATCAAATTTTTTAATTATATGAAAAAATAAGTTTTAAGTACATTAGGTAGTCTTCTAATCCAAAATTTCTTTGTTGAGCGTTGTCTTTGTTTGCAGTTATTACACATATAGAGCTCTGAATCCTCAAGTTCTTCTATATCTGTGAAACTAGAAAGACAATCTGAAAATATAAAGGCATGAAATTATTTTAGAGAGATAAGAGTTTATAGTAGTTTGAAAAAAAGAGAGACCACTAACATGTCAGCAATAATAAGTTTGTCATAACACAGTACTTCAAAACAAATCTATCAGCCTGTCCCAACACAGATCACTTACAGAATGATAAAAAAAATTTAAATAATGCATTACCTGTCAGTGTACAAATAGGTTCTCCATCTTTTGGTTTAGTAAGTCTACTAGAAAACTGGGCTGGAATATCTAGAGACAGATCTGGAAAATATTGATAGACAGATTTCAAAAAAGTTTCACTGAAGTAGTTAGAACTAAGAAATCACACAAGAAAGTGGTGGACTTAATAAAATTGTTGGCTTAATTGTTTTTTTTCATATGGGTCTTTATTTTCTGAAATAAAGTGGTAGCAAGATTACTAACCTAAGAAAGGATCATGCTTTTTGGACTCCATCCCACATATAAGGCAATTCACTTCACTTTGAAGTAAACCACCAAATATAGCTGTCACTATAGTACTCTTTCCTTTTGGACCGATATACGGAGAATTGTTATTAGGATAAGGTAGCAGCTCGAGAAGCTCGATATGTAGCCTATCTAAAAGGTATCGCATAAACTCATGAGCATCTTGCTGTTGGTAACCCCTGAAATCAACAAGTCATAATATGTTGGAAAGATTTGTTCCAAGTAATAATAAAATAAACAGTTTAAAAAAAATGAAAAGGCAAAGTTATTTAAAATTTACCTAAACCTTGGAACAACTTTCCAAATAACAGAAAAAAGAGACTCAGGTGATATGGCCCCTTTTGTGCCTTGCCACAGTGCTACAAGAGTCTTCCTAAGTTCTTCTACTAATAATCTGGGGAAAGAAAAAAAAATCAACATACATGACCGTAACTAACTACAGAAAAAATAACTGAAAATGAAAGCCTAAAGTCATGTTACAAAAATAAATATAAGTTTAAGGATAAAATAAGGCATATTCACAAAAACGTTAAGAAAAAAGAACTTACACATCCTCCCCAGAATCCCTTGTCTTACGAGAAATTTGTATTTTCTTTGCTTTATGTATTTTGTCCTCTAAAGATGGAAGTTGTTTAATGTAGCCACAAAACTCCTGTATATTACTAAAAAAAATAATTGAAGTGTTTAGAAAGTAAGTCCAGATCTTAAATAACATCTAGGGTTTAATGTAACTCTAATAGAAGCATAATTCTAGCAACACAACAACACTAAATGCTGAAGGGTTGTGATGACCAATGTTTTTTAAATAAACTATTTCTTCAATATTCACCTTAAAGACTGTAAAACAGCATTCATAAAACATGTGTTTCCTAAATTACGTAGGCCAGATGTTCTTGGCCGCCTCTGTTTATGATGGTTATCCTGTTTGTAGAAAATATGCTTTTTGAGGGCATAATTAAGCTAGTAAATACTAATAGATGAGAACACAGGGATAAGTATAAACTTTATTCAAGTATAATGAATTTATAATTCTGACGATTGTCAGTTATTGATGTAAGGTTCAAAGATATAAACTGAATTATTACTATACTAGAGATTTTTTAAAAACCAATCTAACATTATTTAGGCCTCTGATTAATTTTTTAACACAACAAAAAACAAACCCTTTTTCTTTTTTTGTGATTTCTTTCATTTTCTAGAGAATCTGATGAATCACATCTCTGAACTTTTTTTGGTGATGTGACTTGGCTGCTGCAACTATACCAGTAAAAGTTATATGGTTGTTATATAATGAATTATGTACAATTAAAATTTGAGCCAACTTAAACATATTTGGCTGTAGAGTTGATACCTTTCTTACACAGCCCTGGACATTTACTTTTCTAATTCCTTCCTATCGAGCCCAGTTGCATACAGTTCAACTTTTATTTTTCCTTCCCCCATGCCCAGCTGCATTATTTCCATCAAATAATTTACCAATATTTATACAATTTTGTTCAGATCAATGTTTTCATCTTGCTGATCATTAAAAAGATAACTAATATATGTATTACCTACCTTTCTTCACTTTTAGTTTCCGTTACTTTGGTGAGTGATTCATATTGTTTACGTAATTTTTCCAGATGTCCAAAATTAGTATCATTTATAACAAAATCATCACATTTGTAGCTAAAAAAAGGTAAAAAAGTTCACTGATTAAAACACAAAAAAAAGAACAGCATTCTAAAAGGAAGCTATTTTGAAATGTCATTTAAACAGCTAATGTACATTTGATGCTACATTAACAAGTAAACAAATATATTATTCTAAAAAATATTACTTTGTCAGTACATTTATAGGTACCTAAATCAAACAAAGCATCAGTTGTATTTTAGTTAATTTATCAAAGACTTTATATATTCAAGAACCTGGGGTCACATCAAGAACTTCAGTCCCAAAATAAAAACATAAATAAATAAAGTAGATATTATCAACATATGACAAGCACTGCTAGACACATTAAATAACTTCTAGGACAACAAAAAGCTGAAAATATTTAAAACAGACTGGAAAAGTATAATAGAAAAGATACATTGGATTTAATCTTACCAGAAAGCCATCAAACTATGACAATCCATGCACACAGCATGAAGTTTTTCATGATTCTCATGATGTTCTTTTGCATGCCCTTTAATGTACCTAAGAAGAAAAAGTCATTTAAACAAGTATGTCATTTTTTTTAAACTCTTTAACCAAGTGTGTAATTAAAACATGAATTAGGCCACTGTAAAATATGTAAGGGAAGTAATTTTTATTAGGCCTACTTTTTTGCCATTATTTAAGGGCCCTTTTTCAGCAAAGTAAAAAAAAAAAAAACTATGTTATAAATGATTGCTTTGTCTTGAAAAAAATTAGTTAAAAGTTATTTACCTGCCACAATTAATATCACCACAAGTCAAACAAATCCAGGGACTCTCTTCTGTTTGACAAGCTTAATAAACATTAAAATACATTAATTTTTCATAAACATTTACACATTTAAACAAACCTATATCATTCATAACCATACAGAGTTGGTTAAGGACAAAACATTCTAGAATAAAAATATAATCTTAAATCTCATAATATGCAGTATGAAGAAAAGTAATAATTTCCATTTCCAGTAAATTAGACCAATGATAACAAGCAAAAAATGAATGTAAATGCTAGAATGTTTGAACTATTATAAACTATGCTAACTATTTCAACTCAAAGGAGCTTATATTGATAGTTAGGACACTGTATAAGTAACCAAATAATAGGGCCTATAACTTAGCTATAAATAATGCATATAGTAATAGACCTACCTGAACATTTAAAAACTGGAGGTTTGCCTAAACTATCAGTGGTTGTGCTTGACAAGTCAAATGCTATTCTGGCACTGTCCTCCAGATGTGGACACTCCATTAGAGGTTGCAGCTTTTCAAAGTTGCAAGTTTTTAGCAGCCAGGGTTATGTTTATTTCAAGTCTAGAAAAATGAGAATAGGCATCTTAATTGCTATGGATACATAGCATCATACTCTTTGAGTCATCAAGAATTGTTTTGCATACAGAAATCATAGGCTCATAAAATACTGCTTAGGATAAACTAAACAAAAGTATCAACAACAGAGACCTGAATACAAGTGAATTGAGTTGTATGCTTTAACTATTCCACAAAATGGATCTATTCTACTTATATGCTTATGTTAAGTGTGTACGCGTACGTTTGTGTGTGCGGGTAGAACATAGATTATAGAATCACATAACAGGAGTAAGAATTATTGAAATTTGAACGTCTTTTTTTTTGTTACTAGCCGGAGCAAATGATTGAAAAATTCCTTTTAGTTTATCTTCCTAAGCCGTCCTGAGCGAAGCCTTAATTGACCACTCATTGGATAAAATTTTTAAAAAGTGTAGAGGAGAAATTGGATCTTGTGTAGGTCCAGCATCTAGTCCTAGAATATATATAGTGATACTGTGATAGAGTTCACCTGTTTCTGTGACCTCAGCATATGAAGGGATAGTGTGGTCAGCATTATGCCCAGCTGTCTTTACTTTCCCTAACATGGGTTAGGTACCCATCAGAGCTGGGTAGACTCAAGGACATTCTACTACTTTGAACCCGGATCGGATCAGCAGTCAGCTCTCTACCACTAGCTAGATCATCTAGATTCTAGATCTAGTAGGCCTACTTGAGTAATCAGTAGTCTATAAAACTATAAATTAGATTACTATAGATAGGCCTAGATAGGAGTCTGACAAAGATAAATGTCATTTTAAAGACTAATCTTAGACCTTGCCTAAAATAAAATAAATAAATAGATCTACTAATTTACTTATTTAGTAGGGGGGGGTAACTTAACTAAAACTAAATTTCTGGGCCTAAATTCTACCTAAATATTTTAATTCCTATTCTCTAGATCTGAAATAACAGAAATATCTAGACTCTAGAATAGAATCTAAGACAAGACTGTTTTCATTTAGATCTAGCCCTATCTAAATCTAGTAGCACTAAAACTTTCGTACATGAAGTAACAATAATTTTAAAATGAATAGGTTATATATCAAAATCAACATCAGCGGATTACAGAATTCAATACATTAGTAATTTGGAGAACCATGTCGATGACTTGATGTTAAAACAGTCTATTCCAGTCTATGGGTTACCCAATAATACTATTGGACAGACATGAATGACGGGGCCAAATTTACCAGATTTTTTCCGAGAGAAAAAGTTACAAAGAAATGTTTAGCCAAACAGATTTCTTAAACCTCAGTAATGTGCTGAAAACGTATTGTGTTATATTATTTCAAAAGACTTGTTTCTTTGATCTTACTAGCTAAAAAGACAAAAACTATATTGTCTATAATATATCGAATTGACATGAAAGTTTTTTGTTAGGCTCTTATGAAAATTTCCAAAGAGGTCACATAATTTGGTATTAATACACCACACAATGCCGTTTTTAACTTAAAAAGAAATATTATATTCGATTGTAAAACTTTCTGACATTATGCTGTATTTTATTTGTGAAGAATCAATTAATGTTTTGGGAAACTGTGTTCTTCGTAGTTATATTAAGTACGACATGCACTACATTGTTGACATTGTACTTTAGGTCAACTTGGGTCATGACCCACTTATTTTGTTGGAGTGAATACCCTGAGGCGAATTCGCTTCAGGGGAACTTAGTTATTTCGGTAACTACATTTTTAATGAGGGTGTATTTTAATTATTAAGTACGAGCCGGCCCGCGGCATAACATACGCCGCTATTTAGTTGTTTCTAATTTTCAATAATTCATAATTTGTGAATTCGACAGTACCAACGCTGACACTGAAAATATTTCTTTAAAACACTATAAGTAGCTCGTTAAGGACCATAACACCCCCCCCTTCCTTCCCCCCTCCCCCCCCCCTACGTTTAAAATCGTTGGCTCTGCTTGTAAACATTTAGAGTGAACACAGCTCACTAAAACCATGTAGGGGTGGGGAGGTAGGGAGAGCGTTTGCAGCTTGTTTTCTAACGGCTCGAAGAGGAGAATTATATATATAGATATTTCTGTACCATTTTTTCATAGCAGGCCTAAACTAGATCTAGATGCTAACGAGAAAAACCTTTTTTTTTTCTTTCGAAGTTGATGAGAATAAGAATGCAAGAGAAGTCGCATCTAGCCCTATCTGTTAATTTAAAAGTAAACCTAAATAATAGGGCTGGTAAGTAGGTCACCAACCAGTTCTACGGCTCAATAAAACCTGCATGAGCCATAGAACTGGTTGGTGACCTACTTACCAGCCCTATAGCTAGATTCTAGATCTACTACCAGTTTCTTTCTGAAATCTCTAAAAATAGAAAAAAATGTATAATATTTATATATATACATATACCTATATATATATATATATATATATATATATATATATATATATATATATATATATATATATATATATATATATATATATATATTAACAAATTTGCCCCCACCCCCCCCCCCCGATTAAATATGGCACCTCCATGAAAGTTTCAAACCTCCCCCCCCCCCCCCCACGGGAGAAAATGTCTGAAAGAAACACAACCACTGTATAATTTCCTTACCAGCATGGTTAAATAAAATTCCCCATAACTTAACACAATATATATATATATATATATATATATATATATATATATATATATATATATATATATATATATATATATATATATATATATAGGAGTCACACTCCTAGGGGAAGGGGGGGTCCGTAATTTTGTGACGGTGTGTGATGAGGGGAGGGGGCAGTTCAGATTGTGTGACGTCACTTTTTTGCATTTCAAAAAAGCAATGTTAGAAAACGAATTAGCCGTTATTTCGAGTTTTAGAAAACTGTTTTAATATATTGTAATAGGATTTGATTAAAACACTCTATGTTGACAGAGTTCAGACAAGATTGTGGATAAATATAGTATTTTAAGAAAAAATCAACTGCAATTTTGAGGGGGGGGGGGGGTGGGGGGGCTGTAGGCTGAGGTGTGACATCATTTTAAGGCTGGGGGTCGAGCTTTTTGTGTGACAGAGGGGAGGTAAAAATGTTTAAAAAAGCGTGACTTTATTTATATTTATGGACAGTGGCGTAGGCAGGGGGGGGTTAGGGGGGGTCATAACCCCCCCCCATAGACCCCTCGGTATATATAAAAAGTATGAGGGGGGGTGCAAATCGAAAGTTTGAGGGGGGGGGGGGGTGCAAATCGAAAGTTTGAGGGGGGGGGGGGTGCAAATCGAAAGTTTGAGGGGGGGGGGTGCAAATCGAAAGTTTGTCCCCGGGTAAAAATTGGAACCCCCCCCCCTTGAGACGATCCTGGCTACGCCACTGTTTATGGATTACCCCATATATATATATATATATATATATATATAAATATATATAAAGCAAAGTGGTCAAGTGCCCGATAGGGCACTTCCCGGCGCCGCAGGCGCGTCAAATTTGGCACGATGGTGCCTTCGGGCGATAGAACACGAGGGCCGGTGACGGTTGGCCGAAAAGTCGAAAGAGAGGGGGTCAAAACTGACCTCGACTGACCGGCGCCTTATATGGGCTATATTACGAAAAAAAATTTCCTCCGACGACCCCCCTTGAAATTTTGTGAGGTAGTAGGAGAACGCCTTGGGGTGTCACAAAAAACTCGCCATGTCCGGGATAAATCGGGAAATGGGTCAAAACTGACCAGTCGTATTTCCCTATATAATCTTTGTATTTTATGGGAAAAACAGAGGGTCATTTCAAAACGGATTTTAGGGCACTTACCCTCTTTACATCTGGCTAATTTTTGGCATGTTTATAGGTAAATGGCTTGACCGTAGGGCAGACCTGTCGGTCTCACTCAAAACCCTTGACGAGGGCTAAAAAGTGACCGCGAGTGAAATTCTCTTTATATGAGCTCTATTACGAAAAAATTTTTCCTCCGACGACCCCCCATGATATTTTGTGAGGTGGTAGGAGAAGGCCTTGGGGTGTCAGAAAAAACTCGGCATATCTGGGAAAACTTCGTAAAGCGGTCAAAACTGACCAGTTGTATTTCCCTATATAATCTTTGTATTTTATGGGAAAAACAGAGGGTCATTTCAACGCAGACTTTAGGGTACTTAATCTCAGTATATCTGGCTAATTTTTTGCATGCTCCTTGGTCAATGGCTTGACCTTTAGGGAAAACTGTCGGTTACACTCAAAGCCCTCGACGAGGGCTAAAATGTGACCGCGAGTGAAATTCTCTTTATATGAGCTCTATTACGAAAAAAAATTTCCTCCGACGACCCCCCTTGATATTTTGTGAGGTGGTAGAAGAACACCTAGGGGTGTCACAAAAAACTCGGCATATCTGGGAAAACTTCGTAAAGCGGTCAAAACTGACCAGTTGTATTTCCCTATATAATCTTTGTATTTTATGGGAAAAACAGAGGGTCATTTCAACCCATACTTTAGGGTACTTAATCTCAGTATATCTGGCTAATTTTTTGCATGCTCCTTGGTCAATGGCTTGACCTTTAGGGAAAACTGTCGGTTACACTCAAAGCCCTCGACGAGGGCTAAAAAGTGACCGCGAGTGAAATTCTCTTTATATGAGCTCTATTACGAAAAAAAATTTCCTCCGACGACCCCCCTTGATATTTTGTGAGGTGGTAGAAGAACACCTAGGGGTGTCACAAAAAACTCGGCATATCTGGGAAAACTTCGTAAAGCGGTCAAAACTGACCAGTTGTATTTCCCTATATAATCTTTGTATTTTATGGGAAAAACAGAGGGTCATTTCAACCCATACTTTAGGGTACTTAATCTCAGTATATCTGGCTAATTTTTTGCATGCTCCTTGGTCAATGGCTTGACCTTTAGGGAAAACTGTCGGTTACACTCAAAGCCCTCGACGAGGGCTAAAAAGTGACCGCGAGTGAAATTCTCTTTATATGAGCTCTATTACGAAAAAAAATTTCCTCCGACGACCCCCCTTGATATTTTGTGAGGTGGTAGAAGAACACCTAGGGGTGTCACAAAAAACTCGGCATATCTGGGAAAACTTCGTAAAGCGGTCAAAACTGACCAGTTGTATTTCCCTATATAATCTTTGTATTTTATGGGAAAAACAGAGGGTCATTTCAACGCAGACTTTAGGGTACTTAAGCTCAGTATATCTGGCTAACTTTTTGCATGCTCCTAGGACAATGGCTTGACCTTTAGGGAAAACTGTCGGTTACACTCAAAGCCCTCGACGAGGGCTAAAAAGTGACCGCGAGTGAAATTCTCTTTATATGAGCTCTATTACGAAAAAAAATTTCCTCCGACGACCCCCCTTGATATTTAGTGAGGTGGTAGAAGAACACCTAGGGGTGTCACAAAAAACTCGGCATATTTGGGAAAACTTCGTAAAGCGGTCAAAACTGACCAGTTGTATTTCCCTATATAATCTTTGTATTTTATGGGAAAAACAGAGGGTCATTTCAACGCAGACTTTAGGGTACTTAATCTCAGTATATCTGGCTAATTTTTTGCATGCTCCTTGGTCAATGGCTTGACCTTTAGGGAAAACTGTCGGTTACACTCAAAGCCCTCGATGAGGGCTAAAAAGTGACCGCGAGTGAAATTCTCTTTATATGAGCTCTATTACGAAAAAAAATTTCCTCCGACGACCCCCCTTGATATTTTGTGAGGTGGTAGAAGAACACCTAGGGGTGTCACAAAAAACTCGGCATATCTGGGAAAACTTCGTAAAGCGGTCAAAACTGACCAGTTGTATTTCCCTATATAATCTTTGTATTTTATGGGAAAAACAGAGGGTCATTTCAACGCAGACTTTAGGGTACTTAAGCTCAGTATATCTGGCTAACTTTTTGCATGCTCCTAGGACAATGGCTTGACCTTTAGGGAAAACTGTCGGTTACACTCAAAGCCCTCGACGAGGGCTAAAAAGTGACCGCGAGTGAAATTCTCTTTATATGAGCTCTATTACGAAAAAAAATTTCCTCCGACGACCCCCTTGATATTTTGTGAGGTGGTAGAAGAACACCTAGGGGTGTCACAAAAAACTCGGCATATTTGGGAAAACTTCGTAAAGCGGTCAAAACTGACCAGTTGTATTTCCCTATATAATCTTTGTATTTTATGGCAAAAACCGGGAAAATTTAACACAATTTTTAGGTTACTT